ATAGAATTTACAGTCTATAGCCTTGCCGGCTCGTGACCAGCAGTATCAGCATCACCTGGAAACTCATCAGAAATGCAGACTATAAAGCCCAAACCCAGACCGATAAAATCAAACTCTGCATTTCATATACACATTAAAACTTGCTAACCCTCACCTGTAGGATTTAATTCCACTCAGTGACAGAAGAAAAAATAATTCCTCTTTGAAGATCTGCCACTATTTAACCTTTGGGAAGGTCATAACCAAAATGTGACCTTCTTCATCTGTAAAATGAAGGGTTGGAAATGGCCCCCACCTACTCTAAAATCCTGTTAGTCCATAAGATGGCTGGAAGACTATTATAATTGCAAGACATAGCACCTAACCAAAAAAATCCTAAATTATACTTATTCCTAAAACATATATATATTTTAGGGAGAAACAGATTTCTAAGTGGACACTAATTTTTTTCTTCATTAACCAACCAAAAGATTCCACAAACTTTTTAGTCAAAATTGTTACTTAGCCAATGATTATTTAAAACTTAATCAGATCTGAATAATCCTACAAAATTATAAAAATACCATACATATATGTGTTAATACATATGTAGTTCTTTAGATTAGAAACGCAACTTTACTAAATTACCCTGTATCAACTGATGAACGTAATCAAATTTGAGGATCAGCTTGGTGCTTCAGTTGATATTTATCATGAACTTATTACCTCCGTTGGTGTTAGGATATTTGAGTTTTACAGAATACGGAAAGAAAAAAAAAAACACCTTTATGTGCATCCTAACTTTGCCACCACAATTTAAAAATGTAAAAATAACAGAAGCTATAATTATTCCTGCGCAAAACAAGCCTACATTTTCCTTCCTTCAACTACTGCAGATAAGTTCTAAAGGAGTGCTTCCCATACCTTAATGTGTATATGAATCACCTGCAAATCTTGTTAAAATGCAGAATCTGATTCAGAAGATGTGGGCAGGGGTCTGAATGCCAAGTTCATACACAGAGAAAGTAGTAAGCTTCTAAAAAAGCCCCATAAATAATAGTATTTAGCCATGGTTTGCATCTTGATAAGCACTGGTTTCCAATTAAATTCCTAATTGAGCAACTTCACATTTTCCCCTTATCTTACTTGATCCCTCCTATGAACGTGATACTTAATTACTCCATCATTCTTAAAACCTAGAAAATTTGTATCCTCATTTTCCTTCTACCTTTCTTCTTGATCTTTCCCACGTTCCTCATACTTACATGTGGGTGCATCACAGGATTCCATTCTTAGCTTCATCTCTTTTCCACTCTAATGCTGTGCCTGGATCACCTATATGCTAATGGATCCAATTGCTGCATTTCCAGCCTACATATGTCTCCCAGTCTTAGATCCACACATTCAACTACCTAATAGATGTTTCTAACCTTTAGTCTTCACAGGCACTTCCAACACAAAGTATCTCTAACTGAACTCTTCATCAACACCTTCCACCCCTAGAAACCAGCTTTTTCAACCCTGTATTAACTTCGTGACCAGCACCCACCATCTGCCCATCTGTCCAAACCATATTTTAAAACTCTATCCTTCTCCCTCACCAAACTGCAATTAATCCCATCTTCTAATTATTTCTCAAATTTCATTCCTTCCTCTCTAGTGTATCATTTGTAACATGGATCATTTCTGACTTGGTTACCATAGTAACCTAACCAGTCTTCTTGCTTCCAATCTCATTTTCGTCCTCAATCTCATCCTTCACATTCCTATGTAATCTTGGCAAACATAACTTGATAGTACTCCCCTACGAAAATTCACCAATGATTTCCCCATTACCTTTAGGAAAAAGTACTAACTTTCTTTCGGCACATCATATAAAGCTCTTCACCATCTTGATTTTTTTTTCTCGTCTCAATTCCCACCACCCCTCAACAGTCAACATGTACTCTTGCCATGTCAGGCTAGCTGCAGCTCCCTGAAAGTACCACATTCTCTAATGTCTCTGTGTGTTTGCACAGGCTGTTTTTCCTTTGCTTAAAATGCCCTTATTAAGCTAAGTACTAATCTTCTTTTAAGACTCTACTCAAGCATCACATGCTTTAAACTGCCCCTTCTAATCACCTCAAGTCTGTTAGGTAACACCGCAAACTGTGCTCCCTCTATTACACGGTATTCCCTATGCAGCATACTTCTATTCGAATACTTAGCAAATTGTATTATAATTGCTGGTCTATTCATCTCCACCAGACTGAGCTCATCAATTAGTCCTTTTAGGAACAGAATGTCCAGTACATGGTTTGCTGAGGGGCACCGGGTGGCACAATCGCTTAAGTGTCCTGCTCTTGGTTGTGGCTCAGGTCGTGATCTCAGTGTCCTGGTATCAGGCCTTGCATGGGGCTCCGCAGAGTCGGCTTCAGACTCTCTTTCCCTCTTCCTCTGCCCCTCCCTGCTGCATGCTCACTCACTCATTCTCTCTCTCTCAAATAAATAAATACATCTTTAAAAAATAAATGAAAAATAAGTGTTTGCTAAATAAACTACCTTGAAATAATAGTCATGAATAATTATCATGGCTACATATTTAAACTATAAATAACTTCCAAAAACTGTCCAAGGTAACAAAAGTTTCTTCAGTTTCTTCATAGGCTTAACAGAACTTTAAAAGACTTCATTAAACAAAGAAGTCCAAAATATTTAAGGTATTCACTTAATTCCCAACAATCTAAAAGTATTTGTTAAAAATTAACAGCCTTCTCAATACTGTGTTAAACTAAGATTATTTTAATTTCACTAACGACTGGTAGACAAATAAAAGCACTGGTCTCTTTTCCAATGGCTGAAGTAAAGAAGTGTGGTAAAATGAAAGGCATATTGTTCAGGTGGCCTAGGTTAGCACTGTGACTTCCTACTTACTAGCTACGTGAACTTGGATAACAATGAACATCTCCAGGCTTCAGTTCCTTCAAAGGAAAACAGAGATAAAATTGCTTACCTACACCATAGGTTGTTTCAAATATTGTTATGAATATGAAAATATTTCTATAAACCATGAACTGCTAAATAAATGTCAACTATTGTGTTAGCTTCCATACTAACAACTGCCAAATATTTGACAGGTGCAAATTTAAAGTTTCATGGACTACTTCAACCTCCATACCCACCCCATACTTCTCCAACGACTGAAAATTCATAAATAAAATTAAGTTCTAGGATTACCACAGCACAAGACTTAGTAGTCCTCAATATTCTTATCTGGTTGAAGGCGTAAAGATATCTAGTTTAATAATAATCTCAGATGTTCTTAAGAAGAGGTTTTTTTTATAAATCTCAAAGTAAATCTCAAGGTAAGTTGTTGGTACAGTCATTTAAATTTCAGCTCCATTTTAAAAAATTAATCGGAGGACAAAAATCAGCAGGGAATATGTAGAGATACCTTCTTTTATTAACTATTTAGATTGGGTACTATTGACAAATAAGCTTGATCTACTATAGACTCACTAACATGAAAGTTAAAAAGCCACCACTACAAAACCAAGACTTTTTTTCACCCGTATTTCTGGCTTATTTCTCAGATATGCTTGTTAGTCTATCAATGAGAAGAGAAAATTTGCTGCATTTTCTAAACTAAAAAAGTGATGAAGCATGTTAATTCTGCTCTCAGCAATATCTTTCTTTGTTAAATAGGGACTTACGGGGATTATGGCCTATATCAGGAAAACTGTTTTCTGTCCCTTCTCTGCAATATTTATAAAAATAGGATTCTTAACCTTCAAAGGGCAAAACTCCTTAAAAAAAAAAAAAAAGTAAAAGAAAATCTACTACAAAAGTCAGCACTTCGGTACCTGATTGTGGTAACAAGGCCAAAATCCAAGACGAAGCCCTTTATTGCACATCGTGTTCCAACGTCTTGGGCAGCCCCATCTTGCGACCTCTCCAGACTGGCTGCTCCTGTTCTCTCTACTGCAGAGAGAACTTCAATTAGAGAAATTCTGAAGCTCATGAATCTAAACTGGATACTCCCCTCACTGGAGGCAAGGATGGCAAGAATCATTAAAAAGATTCAAGTCAGAAGAGGTTTCAAATAAATCCAAGTGGCTTGAAACCACTATAATGCAGGCAGCTGAGAGTCTTATTAAGCAACAGTCTATTTACCTAAAAAAAAAAAAAAATCTTAAGAAAAAGAATGGCAGCAAATTATTAGATAACCTGAAAAAACAGGTTATATAATCATAAATCTCTAAAAAGTAAAATATTCTCCACTAAACTTGTGTTGAATTTGTATCTATGATACCAACTTATAGCTGACCATTCATGTTTATAATCCTTATGAGAAAAGGAAGTAAGAAAATAACTAGGACATGTTATTAACTTCTTTCTGTGCCCTAAAATAACTCATTGAAAAAATGGTCAAAAACCAGTGGTTAGGAAGGAGAGATTTCCCTGCTGACTTAAGCCTAGCTGCCCAAGCAAGGCTTTAGAAAAGGTCTTCACCTACAACAGTGCATAGGCAGAAGGAGCAGAGGCTATGGCGGTCTTCCTAGTGACACTTCCAAGTCACGTAAACGGGGTATGTTTCTGGGATAGACTGCCAACAAGTTACTGAAAGAAACAAAGCCGGCAAAAACCTGGCAAATAAACAGGCCAATGCCCTCATGTGTTTATGACATAAGTAGTCTTAACTAAAGTTACCTTGATGCTACCAGATCGAAATCACATCCTCTATACTAACAGTACCTGATTTCTGAAAGACTGGATTCATTTTCAAGCTGGTTTTCCATAAAGACTTGTAATGATGTATAACATGTATAAAGCATTTCTTAGACCAAGCAAGTAACAAGCTACATCCCAAAGAACCAGCAATTAAGATTTTTCAATTAGAGCAATAAACTAACGCTCTGAATCACCTTTACCACCATGAATTTTTATCAAAAGTGTGCTGGTATGTGCAAATGAAACAGAATGAGGTTAATACTGTCAAGAAGCTGTATTTACTAAACAATGTAACAATGATTTTATCTTACCTGAGTGTGAAAATTTGAAATGGTGGTTGTTTCGATATCTTTCTTGCCCAGAATCTCCATTTTCACAGGAGTGTTGGGGAAATTAAAAGCAAAGTAGTCCAAGAAGTCTGGGAGATAAGCAGCCGCTCCATGCACTATTGCTAAAGCATAGTAAGCAGCATTTTTCTCATTTTCACTGAATGTCAAAGCAAGAAACTCCTCAGAAAATCTCTCCATCTCCATTGGAGACAAAAATGAGAGTTCATCCATGTAAGCATGAAGGACAAGTGCACCACCATTGGACTGGTGTTCCTCGTGAATAAAGTTGCTAAATTTAGTACCTGTTTTTAAGAAATTTCTACGAATAGAATGTTCCTGGTGAGTCATAAAAGGTGTTTGTACTCCCTGGGGTACCCGATATTCTTGCATGCCCAAATTTAATCGGCACAGCTGTTCATCTTTCAGATACCTGAAGGACTCCTTATTAACTCCTGAAGTGCTATTTATTTGTCCTTGGGTGAGGATTTCCTTACTGATGCGGGTCAGGCCAGCACAGACGGTTTGTACTTCCTTATTGTACATTTTAAGGCGTCTTCCTCGCATATCTTCTCGGTGTTTCTTTTTCTTTTTCTTCTTTATTTTCTTCAAGACAAAATCATCAGCTCTCTGGGTTTTACCATTTTCATCTGGTGTTTCTGGCCACAATAATTAAAAAGAAGTTAGTTGCTAGGCCTAGTGTCAACATATAAACTTCTTACGGTATTTGATCTCAAATTAAATGGCCTATTCTCAGTTTCTCTGAATTTGCCATGACAACTTACATGTTTATAAAATGAGACAAAGATCTTAGAATACGGTAATATTCAGGGCTGAAAACTATGCTAAAAAGTAGACAATGAATATGTAAGCATATAATTTAATACGACTTGCAATGAAAAGTAAAGGAAATATCCACGTAATTTCACATCTGCCATACTGTATGGAACATCTCTTCAGTAACCACTGTAAAATCTAAACTGAAGCTTGTCATATTTTGCTATGATACATACAGGTAAATCAAACAAAGGCAAAGTAAGCTGTAAGACACCATTTTACCTACCAAACTGGATTGACTTTTCTTTTTTTGGCATTCTCATATACTGTTGTTGGAAGTATAAATCGGTACAAATTCCATGGAGGGCAATTTGGCACCCACCAAAATGGATGTGTACACCAAAAGCCTTGCAGATATTTGTAATTATCAGACCCAGAAATTCCACTCCCAAGTAAAAATTACCTAAGAAAATAACTGAAGATACACAAAAATATCCATGACAGTTATTTAGGGACTCCCCCTTAAATGTCTATCCTAAGTAACAGGATGTTGATTAAACTCTGGTACTTACATACTGACAAAATACTACCCAGCCATTACAAGTTATATTATAAATGAAAAGAACTGATGAATTACAAAGTTACAGAATGCTTACATTGCCAATCTTCCAAGAAGCATTCTCTAACAAGTCATCTCTACCCAGTTCGGATAGCTATTCTTACCCTGTGCTTCCTTAGCGCTGTACTTCCCCTTCCTCTACCACAGAACTTACCACATTCTATGTTATCACATAGCTAATTTTCTACCTCTCCTCTAGACTGTAAGCAATCTAAGGTCAGAAATATATATCTTACCTTTCTTTCCAGGGCATCTAATGTGATATACTCTGATCCCATGTTTATAATATTAAACAATCAAACATTTATTAAGTACCCACTAAGTGCCAGGGACATTTCTGGGCACTAGGGGGATATGGTGCTAAGACAGACATAACCCCCATTCTCTTGGACTTTACAATCTAGTTTGGCAAGAAAAACAAAATATCAGTAAGCTACTCTAGGTGCTGAGGAAACTTCCCTTCAGGAGGTAACATTTAGGCTGATTCCTAAATAATAAGACAAGCCAGGCATGTTTTCTAGGGAAAAATATTCCAGGGAGAAGCAAAGAACCTATAGAGAGGAAAAAGTCTGATAGATGTACATATGTTTTGTACATATATTACATAGAAAAGTACCTGAAGAAATACACATCAAAGTGTTAATGGTAGTTATCTAGGCTGGTAGGATTATAAATATCTAGATGTTTTCTTTTTTGCTTACCTGTATTTTCTAATTTTCTACAATAAACACATACTACATCTATAATTAAAAGTTTATTTTTAATTTTTAAGGGATTATCACGGATTGACAAACCCAAAATAGAACAGCATCGTTCATTTACCAGTTCGAAAATATATCTAGCAAGAAATCTTATTAGGATTAAGTATCAGGTATTTCAAGTTCGATGTGGTATTTACTATATAGAATTTGTCCACCCAACAATTGTATTTCTGACATGATTCAAGTAATTCAGTGTTAAGACAGATACTTCAATTGATCCTATGACTACACCTAGGAAGAACAAATTCAATAAAATTTACAGTAAATAATTTACTTGGTATAATTTGCAAATATGATAGTTGCAGTACTCTATACAAAATCATTCCAAATCACCAAAATTTGCAAGTTGTGAAAAACTTCTGAAGAAAATATTTAAAAGTATAAGTCAGAGACTTTAAAGTGTATAGATACCAAATGACTTTCATTCTGTTTAATGTTTTTAAACAAAAAGACTTTAAACCCTTCATTTGCAAACATCACTTATAATTAAACTGAGATCATATAGCAAAATATAGATGTAATCAGACTGCTTAAATTGCCAAGAGAGAAAGAGCAGTCCATCTTTTATTCTGTATACACCTAAATCTTTGAGATTTTGTTAAAACACTTATAGTAACAGTCATTTATATTTCTTACCAAATAAAATTAATCTAAATGCTTTTCCCACATTAAAAATCGGTAATTTAGGCAATTCTCCCAAGCAACTAAATGTTAATGCCATTAAATACAAAGGTTAGACCAATTTTAAAAGTCATCTAATTACCCTCTGCTAAATGTTTTAGCAATTTCACAGGGAGAAAAAAAAAAAGAAAGAAAGAAAGAAAAGAAACTATCTCTGAATAGATCTGTTATTTTAAGCTTCAGAGGAGGTATTTGGTATGCAGAAGATGAATTGTGACCTAGATCTGCCACTGAAATTAACACTACCAAGGAGCTGCCTTGATTGTAACACATTTTCTATATTACTATCAGCTTACCAATGGTTTTTCTAACATGGCCAAGTCTCTGTGGGTTTTATTCCAAACTCATTTATATGAGAACCACTCAAATCATCAAACACAGGCCCATCAAAAAACCATGGTACAAGGAAATGAAAAGGACCTTAAATTGATTGTAATCTCATATTTCAACATGATAAAGGTTTAAAATATGAAATAAATGTCAATCTATCTCATTAATCCTGTTTTTCAAATTTTGATTCTTAACTAAGGCTAAATATAGAAAGCTCACCTTTGTTTATAGAGAAATTTTAGACTACTTGTGTCATACCAGCTAATGAATTTCAATGAATAAACAAAATTTACCTCTGAGTTACTGTGATGACAACTAACTGAAAATGGCATATACATATACAAAGTCATTAAAGGTTATTACAGTAAGTTAGCCCTGTTGCACTATGAGAATATCAAGGTTGCCTTGCCTTGAATTAAAAACACTAATTAAAAGTCAATGTCTTTGCAATATAAATGTATCAAATCAGTATGTTGTACACCTTACACAATGTTTTTTGTCAATTATATCTCAAAAAAAAAGAACAAAAAAAAACAATGTCTAAAGTTTTCACAATCTTTCCATTCCTGGTTGACTTAGCTTTCCAACAGAGAACATATTCAGGAGGCAACATTTTGAGTATTTCCCTACAGCGCAAAAGCTAAAATTTATTGACATCAGTTTACAGAAAAGCCAAACCACTCTATTATCTGTGATTAAGGAAAGCTTTCACATACCAAACTGTAAGAGCAAACATAAAGAGAAGTACGTTAAGTCTACAGAGGAAGATACATTTATCTGAGAAAAAAATTGCTGTCTTAAGAAAAAAAAAAAGAGGGTCGTTCTAACTGTAACTAAATTAATGCATGACACTATCAATAAAATCCTCATAAAAGCCCGTGTCCGTTGAGTCATGAATGGATAAAGAAAATGTGGTATACGTATATGCACGCATGCACACACACCATGGAATATTACTCAGCCATCAAAAAGAATGAAATTTTGCCACTTGCAACTACGGATGGAGCCAGAGTGATATATTATGCTAAGTGAAGTAAATCAATCAGGGAAAAACAAATACCGTATGATTTCACTCATGTGTGGAATTTAGGAAAACAGAAGAGATGAACATATGGGAAGGGAAAAACGAGAGAGAGGGAAGCAAACCATAAGAGACTTAGTGACAGAGAACAAACTGAGGTTTGAGGGAGGGAAATGGGTGGCGGATGGGCTAAATGGGTGATGGGTATTAAGGAGGGTACTTGTGATGAGCACTGGGTGTTCTATGTAAGTGATGAATCACTAAATTCTACACCCGAAACTAAAATAAAATAAAATCCTCATATGTGCTAATATTATCAACTATCAAATAGCATCATTTATTTATATCACTACTTAAAGTTCTCATTAATGCAAAAAAAATTAGCTTTTTCTATCACAAAACTTAAATTCGTATCACCATTCTCACACTTGAATCGTAACTTAGAACCGAAAGAAATGTAATATCCTCAATTTTTAAAACTCATGGTTTTAAAACATTTTCAAAGCAAGTACAATGTTTTATATTTTATTAATCATAATAAAGAAAAGGGCTGAAGTTGCTTCCTGAAAAGAAATTTTTTAGTCTTCCTGGGGATCCTTCCCATCCCATATAAAAACCTGACTAAAAAGGCCACCGTACGTTCAGAACGCTGCCTGACTCCACCCCTCACCCCTCCACGGCACGATGGGAAGAGTGGCTGGCTGAATTCCTATCCCTCCTTGTACTTCCTCCCGAAATATTACCTTTGCAACTTAATTTCTTTGTACCTTGTTCCTCATTGGTAAAATAGGGGAAAGTAACAGCACCTCCTCATAAAATCAGTGAGCAGGGTAAACGAAACAGAGCACATAAAGTACTTAAAATAGTCCTAGAATATAACAAATACTCAATACACGTTAACTACTATTACCCCAAAACAGCTGGATTGTAGAGGCAGCAGAGATGCTATAGGAGCTCTAGGAGTAGGTGCTTTACAGTTAGAGAGACCTAGCTTAATGTCCCAGCCCTACTACTTACTGCGTAGGGTCTCTGGGAACGCTCATTAATCTCTTTAAACTTCCATTTTCTCGTCTTAACGTTAATTCTAGTATCTATCTCACAGAGCTATCGTTCAGGGTTAAATAAGACAATAAACATAAGGGCCTCATCACAGTACTAAGCACACAATAAGTGCTCTTTATTATCTTTAAGTGCACACTAAGTGCATCTTTATTATCATTTTCACAATATTTAATACATTCCTTGAAATTATTGGCAGTAACTCTGACATACCAAAACTAGAGACAGAAATTACTGACCTAGACTACAATGTAGTATGCCCATAAAAAGGACAAAAATCTCTGAAAGAGGGAAGAAAATTATTCACCAAAGGTCTACTTGGTATCATATATGCTATCTCATTTTAATTCTCAAACAAACCAGTGATGTAGATACGTTAAGTCCATTTTATAGGGAAGAAAACAGCTTGAAATAAGATATGTTACTTATTGTAGGCCACAAAACAAGCAGGTGAGAACCAAGATTCAAACGCTCTCCTTGTCTGATTCCAAAACTCAAACTCTTCCCATACACTATTACACTACACTCTTCCTTTCTGCCTTCTCTCTCAACTCTGAGACACTCCCTTGAGATGACCAACTAAAATTATCTGGTTACAATTAATGGACTTGAGGAGGAGGACCTACAATAATCTCCAATAAAGGGAGCATTACTTTATTCAACAAATATTTTACTGAGTGCCCATTACATGATAACTCTGCATGATCACAAAGATGGCATTATTTACATTATGCAAAAATTTCATGCCCTAAAGGGGCATGTGTGAAGGAACATGTCTTTCAGCACAATGATCTATCTCAGAGATTGGCAAACTTTTTCTATAAAGAGCCACATAGTAATAAGTTTTAGCAGCCCACGTAGTCTATCTCAGCTACTCTACTGTTCTAGTGTGAAAACTACCACAGATAATATATTTGAATGAGTGGAGTGATGTTCCAATTTATTTCTGGACAACAAATTTAAATTTCTTATGATTTTCACATGTCATGAGGTTTTCTTCAACCATTTAAAATGTAAAGACCATCTTATTTGACAAGTCATACAAAAACAGGCAGTGGAACTGATTTTTTACAAATATGTAGCAGTAATCCAATGGAGGAAGAAAAGTCTTCAATGAAGGTGCTGGAACAACCGGAAACATGAACCTCAACCTAAACACCTCACACCTTACACAAATAACTCAAATGAATCACAGATTCAAATGTAAAAGTTACCATTATAATACTTTTTAGGAAAAAAAATAAATGAAAATCTTTGGGACCTAGGCCTTGAGACCTTAGATTTGACACCAAAAGCATGATCCATAAAAGAAAAAAATAATTAGACCTCAACAAAATTTACAACTTTTGCTCTGTGAAAGACCGTGTTAAAAGGAGGGAAACACAAGCAACAAAAGTGGGAGGAAATATTTGCAAACAATATATCTGACAAAGGACCCATACCTGTAATATACAAAGAATTCTCAAAAGTCAGTAGTAAAAAAAAAAAAAAAAAAAGCAAACAATTCAGTTAGAAAATGGGCAAAAGACATAAAGAGACATTTTACTGATGAAGATATATGGCCAGCAAATGATGACCAAAAAAAGATGTTAAATATCACTAGCCACTAGGGAAATGCAACTTAAGTCCATGACGAGGTAATACTTATTACACATCTATTAGGACAGATAAAATAAAAATAGTAACAATACCAGATACTGGCAAGGATGTGGAGAAAGTAGAAATCTTCATACATTGCTGGTGGGAATGTAAAATTGTACAGACATTTTAGAAAACAGTTTGGTTATAACTTACAAAAACCAAAAAAAACACCTAAACATACATTTTTATGACCCAGCAATTGCATTCCCAGAGAAATAAATGAAAATTTACATCCACACAAAGACCTGAACATGAATGTTCACAGAAGCTTTATTCTAATAGCCAAACTGGAAACAGCCAAAACATTATTCAGGTGAATGGTTAAACTGTGGTATATCTATACCATAGAATACTCCTCAGCAATGAAAAGGAGTGAGCTATTAATACATATAACTTGAATGGATCTCAAGGACATCATGCTGAGTGAAAAAAGCCTCAAAAAATCACATACTGTATTACTCCATTTACAACATTCTCAAAATGATAGAGAGTTATAGAACAGATTAGTGGTTGTTAGAGGTTAGGGAAGGTGGGGAGACAGAGTTGGTACCTAAGACTTTCAAGAGATTAGCAAAAGGGGGATCTTTGCGGTGATGGAATAGTTGTGGATCTTGACTGCAGTGGTGGTTAAACTAATCTACAGGTGATAAAATGGCACAGAATTATACACACACCATTGTACCAATGTCAATTTCCTGGTGCGGATATCATACAATAATTATGTAAGATATAACCATTGGGAAAAACTAATGAAGGGTAAAAACTTCTCTGCACTGTTTTTGCAATTTCCTGTGAATATATAATTACCTCAAAATAAAAAGTTAAAATAGTTTCTGAAAATCTTAAGGGTAAGGGAGGGAAGACATAACTCTGTAAATAACAAAGGTCTAGCCACTCTCCTTATTAATCTTAAGAGTTGTTTCAAGGACAAAGTTTGATAAAATAACAAAAGGTCGTTTTAAAAGCACCTAATATCAGCCACCGTTTTAAGTACTTTCCACATATTGCCCCATGTAATCTACATAATAATCTTGTAAAAGAGATACTAGAACCCCATTGTACAGACAGGAAAACTGAAGCTGAAAGAGGTTATTTGCCCATGATCAAACAGTAAGCAGTAGAGCCACAAGTTAAACTTAGACTGACTCCAGAGGCATGCCTCCTGCACACCACTGTAACAAGCATAAAGATGTTCAGCGAAAAAAGTAAAGATGTCCACCAAAATGTGTGCAAAAGCCTGGATTAAACAAAGTTAAGCCAGTTTGTTTTCTGTAGGGTTCTCAGAATTTTTAAAATGCCAGTATATGTCATATATCTAGAAGGCTATAGTATACAGTGTTCCCCCCCATGTATAAGGCCAGGGAGCTCTTTTCCTGCAGAATACATAATCCAATAGTCCCTCACTCAGAAGTTAAAATGTTTAAACTAGACTTATTATGGTGATCCTTCCACAATACATACAAAAATTGAATCATTATGTTGTATACCTGAAACTAATATAACATTGTATGTCTACTGTATTTCAATTAACAACAAAAAAAAAGTAAGATGTTGAAATTACTCCACTTCTTCACATATTGGCAAACGGCAAATGCTTCAAGCTGCGCTGTCCAATATGGTAGCCACTAGCCAAAAGAAACTATTATGAACTAAATAAAATTAAAAATTCAGTTCCTCAAGGGCGCCTGGTTGGCTCAGTTGGTTAAGCGACTGCCTTCGGGTCAGGTCATGATCCCAGGGTCCTGGGATCGAGCCCCACATCGGGCTCCCTGCTCGGCAGGGAGCCTGCTTCTCCCTCTGCCACTCCCCCTGCTTGTGTTCCCTTCTCTCTCTGTCCCTCTCTCTCTGTCAATTAAATAAATAAAATCTCTAAAAAAAAAAATTTCATTAAAAAAAAAAATTCAGTTCCTCAATTATACCAGTCTTCCAAGACTTATTTCAAGGGCCACATATGACTAATGCTACCATATTGGACAGCACAGATATAGAACATTTCCATCACTGGAGAAAGTTCTGTCAGACAGCACTGAGTTAAAGGTTTGTTTTTGTTTGTTTTTAAAAGAACATGGGGCCTGTGGAATCCTCAGAGAAGCACACTGTATTATACGTATAATTGCCACTATCCCACCATAAAAAGGGGCTAGGTCAGAAATTTTTGATGGAGCTGGCTACTGCCATTCTAATGCCAAGGCATGGGGAAGGGGTAAGCAAAGAAGGGGAAAAAGGAAATACCATAAAAAAAAAAAAAAAAGAAAGAAAGAAAGGAACAACAAGCCGCTGGGGGAGGATGCTTGAACTGGGATTCAAGATCTGGGTTCTACTCCCTATTACACCAATTATTCATTAAAATAATTTTTTTTTAATGTTTGTACTTGGTACTAATTAACTGGGACTTAATTAGACAAGTCTCTTCACTACTTTGGGCCTGGGTTTCCTCTTCCACAATATAAATTTGAATTGGTTGATCTCTAAGATTCCCTCTACCTCTGTATGGTTAAAACACACACACACACAAGAAATGAGAAGATGAGAAATAAAAGACAGCAAGATCACTGCATACTGGTGGTGGAAACTGGCAGTCCTGTCAGATTGGCACAAGTTTTATTCTTCAAAATAACATCTGGACACCACCAAAGGAAGAAAAATTTCATTCAATAAATATTTATTGAGCAATTATTTGCAACAAACTGCACTATTTGGATGTGGCACCACAAAAAAACTGACTTAAGTCAAGACCAAGTATATGGAAGGAATCCAAAACACACAAAACTTGAGATTGAAAGACTTTGTTCATAAACATGTAATAAGCCAGCTGGCCCAATGCTAAGAAATACTAAGATACTTACATCTTAAAATCTTGAGGAAATACAAATTATATAAAATCATATAAAAATCATGGTATAATCAAAATTCCTACCCCCCCCCTTTCTACAGAGAATACAAATGCTACATGTACTTGGGAACAGGAAGATACCAATTTTGGTAAACCTAATTTCTCTAGATCCCACATTTAATTGGTTAGTCCTGTATTTTCTGGGTTCAATATTCTTGACTTTAGTGAGGGTTACTGGAATTAAATAAATTATCAATTTTTTTGGGTGTGCCAGAAAGAATAAACTGTAACTGGAATTCTTGCTTCTAACTATTCACTACTGCACATTTCCCACTTTTCACAGGCACGGTTAGTCCTATTTCCTAGGATCATAAGGGACAGAACACCTTCCCCAACCCTCTTCCCAGAATTAAGATTTAATATAAAAATTAAAAAAGATTTCGCCTCCGGATAAAAAAGAACCACTACAAACTACGTCTGCTATTTTACCTTGCAAAAGCTAACGCAACCTGTGAGTCGAGTAACCTCTGTAAGAATTCAAACTCATTAAAGCCCCACACCATACCCGTGAATATTTTGGAGCCTAGGAGAGTGAATATTAAAGATTTCCACCAAAGACAACAAGAAGAAACGATTTAAGCGACAAGTCTTTACTTCAGAAAAGCAGTTTCTTTAATACCCCAGCTACTAATCCCACGCCGAGGACCGCGCGGCGCGGAAACCCTGGCGAATTTGAAAACAAACGTTGGTAAAGGCTCGGGGTGAAGGGCGGGGGCGGGGAGGGGGGAGCCTGGTAAGGGGGTTAGTAACTGACAGCTCGGCCTCGAAACGAGAAGCCTCAAGTAGGTCAGACTGTGTCAACGGTTTGAAATCCAGAGTCCACCCCAGTGGGCTTAAGGGAGTAGAGCAGCAGGAGGTAAGTATGGGTTTGGCGTCTTTCAGTGCTAAAGGGGCGGGATATCAGAACTGAGAGAGACCTAGAGCCCAAGCTCGGGGCAGTTCGCCTGCTCTCACCTCTCTTGGGGGCCTTGATCAGAGGCACCCCTCCAGTCCTCTCGCCGTTTTCCTGCTTGTCCTTGTGCTTGAAATCGCCCGGAACGCAGGAGCTGGGGTCACCATCGGAGCCGCGGTGGTGATGGTGCTTGTGCCGCTCCTTGTGGCCCTTATGCTTGGGCCCGGCCGCGCTCACCGTCAGGGGAGAGAAGGTGAAGAGGGCCGAGGTGCCTGGGGCCGGGAGCGGGGCAGCGACAGCGGGCCCGGCGGGTGCCAGCGAAGGTGGCGGCGGAGGCGGCAGGAGCAGAGGCTCGACAGGGCCTGGGACGGTTGGGGCTGCATTCGTTGGCGGCAGCGGCCCGGGATGTTGGCGGCTGCGACGCCGCCGGTGAGGGGGAGCGAGAGGGGGGTCCTGGCTCGGCCGCCCCCGCTTCTCCTGAGACCCCCCACTGCTCGCTCGGCGCTGCCGCTTCACTCCCCGCGGCGAGACCCCAGCATGGGGTTTCTCCTTCCCTTCTTTGTCCGGCTCCTCCTGCGCCGCCACCGCCCGTACTACGCGCACCGCTCCGACCTGCGCAGCCATTTCACCCACAAACACACATTTAAATGGCCCGACCGCCCCCCCCGTCCGCGTAGCGCGCAAGCGCCGCCCGCGCACGGCCCGCTGGGCATTGGAGTCTCTCCCCCGCCCTCCACTTCGCGGCGGTTGTTCCTCCGCAGCTGAACATACCGGAAGCGGCAGTTCCCAGCGCTTCTCCGCAGGCCTCTCCGAGCGAGGCCTATTGTAAAGCACCCTGGGCGGCGCAGAGCCTCATGGGAGCGGTAGTTCCCCCGCGCCCCCGCCGCCTCCCTGGCTCTGGGAGTGGAGGAGCGGAAAGAGAGCGTGCGCCGAGTCACGCTTCGGGCTGCGACGCAACGGCAGCTGGGCGGAGAGTTGCCGCCAACCGCCTTAACGGCCGAAACAATGTTAGTAGCTTTCAGTCTATCGGCGCGTTCCCATTATCCGTGTTCTTGTGCCCCTTCGTTATTTTACACGGAGTAGGTGGTCTCCATAGGTACTTTTAAATTTCATAGTTCTCTCATAACCTTTGTGAGGTAAAAGAATCTGCGGCCTTTTATCTTTGGACAGGCGATGAAATGAAGAGGAAAGGGGAACTTGGTCATATGTAAAATGAGGGCGATTTGGGTTTAGAATCGAGTGGGGCCGCAATGAAGACATTTTTTAACCTCTTGGTGGGCATTGCTATGGTTACAGCTACAGGCGTAACAAGGCAGGTGCAAGACCTGCCTGGGAGCCTGGTGCGCGCCGCCCCACCTCGCCTTCCAGCCGCATCCCCTCTAATGCCTAGAAAGGTAGAGGGCCGTTTATTTTGAATCCAACCCCACAGTGACGAAAAATTTCTAGACGGAAAACCATGTTTTTAAACTTTTTTAAATGAGATTTTTTTTTCAAGTCGCAAGTATAAGGTTGCATAAATTTGAGAAGCGTGTCTACCACAGAACATTACAAAAATCGTCACTGTTCACCAAGGTTGCTGCCTGGAAATTCATTCACAATTCCATCGGCAAGATCTTAGATTTTACCTAAGATTGTGTTCATATATTTGGCCCTTGATAAAGATCTTTGGGAATAATTGGTTACAGTGAAGTACTCAGAAATACCACTAATGCCTGAAGTATTCAGCTAAATGAACACTACAGTAAAGTTAGTTTTTAAAAACAGTTTATTCGGCACCCATTGTGTACATTGTACTACAATAAACAGGTTAAGATGTCATCCAATTTGCCCTATCATTAGGCTTCGTAATGAAACAAATGCTGTTTAAGTATTTCATGTTTCTAAAAGTTAAAAATAAACTTTCCTAAGTTTTAAAAAAAAACTTAAATCCTTAGAACTCGGGAATCCGCTGTAACAGGAATTACCCACTAATATGTTACATAAAATCAGATTTGAAAACTCAGATTTTCTAAAAATAAGGCAGATCCATATTCATATAGGAAATTTTTTAAACCTCTGATTGGTTGGATATAAGTTGCACATATTAATGTAGGACTTTTGAAATGAAAAATGCTACCAAAAGATAGCTATTTTGCTGATTATTCTTCCTGACTTGGTAACTGAATACCTTGGGTCCAAACTTATCAGAAATGTAGTTGAACATCTTGTTAGTGGATATATCCAAATAGAGAAATGATTCTCCTTATTTATATATTTTATTCTCTTAAATATAACTTCTCCTTTTCTTACTACTCTAGTTTTTCCACCTTTGGGAAGATGTGCAAGGTATATTCCATTTAGGCAAAAATAATTCCCAGGGAATAGTCATTGTCACAAGTACGTGTCAGATTTTGTGAAACACTTTCTACAGTAAATTCTGGCAATGTAAACATTCATTTGAGATCCAATTCTTAAAAATATTTTGAAGTTTATATTTATGTAGAAAAGTAGAATAAAAATAACTTCCAAAATGAAAAATAAGTCCATTCTAAAACTGTTTCTCATACACTGTTCTCTACAAAGCTCAAGTGACAAACTTATTTCCAGTTTCCAGCCCAATATAAATGAGATGAAAATGTAAAATTTCTGGCACTTATTTGAATATTCTTTTCTAATATTGCTGTTAACACATTACAGTATCTTCATTGTTGAAATTATGAATATGGAAACCTTATTTTAGCTAATAGTATTCTAGTTTTCTTATTTGCAGATGCACTTGCAGCCTATATTCCAAAGTTGTGTTAAATATTCCAAGTTGGTGGTGGTTTCCTTGGTCCCTTGGGTTTTGAAAAACGATTTGCAAAACCTGGGAACAAAAATAAAATTGTATGAAAAGTTTTTTTAGTATAGAAATGAATAGATTTTGGAGTGTATTATAACATATGCAAGTACATGGACTTTTTTTCAAAAAGTTAGCAACATCTTTATTTTAATAATAGATTGTAAAGGCATAGTACTTAAGTTAATGCTTAAGTGATGACAGAATACTAATAACATTTTAATTTTGTAGAACACTTACAAATTTAATAATGGTAATAATTAGATGAAGAACCCTGTTTACAACCTTTGGTAATTCAGCATATACAGTTGACCCTTGAACAGCATTTTCTTTAGATTATGTATACGGATGGCAAACAAAATATGTGTTAATCAACTGTTTATGCTATGGGTAAGACTTCCGGTCAACAGTATGCTATTAAGAGTTAAGTTCTGGGAGATTTTAAGTTTTGTAGATTGTTGACTACACGGGGAGCAGGGTGGCATCCCTATCCTCCACATTGCTCAAAGGTCAACTGTAATATACTTTTTTTCCCAGTTTTATTGACATATTATTGACCTATAACATATGTAAGTTTAAGGTATACAACATGATGATTTGATACACGTATATATTGTGAAATGATTACCACATTAAGGCTAAATAACACCTCCATCCCCTCATAAGATAACCATTTCTTCGTGGTGATTACATTTATGATTTAAACTTTCAAGTATATAATACAGTACTCTTATAATTATCATGCTGTACATTAGGCCCCCAGAACTTACTCATATTACAGCTGGAAGTTTGTACCCTTTGACAAACATCTCTCCATCTCCCCAGCCACTGGCAACCACCATTCTACTCTATATTTCCATGAGTTTGGCTTTTTTAGATTCCGCATATAACTGAACACATACAGTATTTGTCTTTCTCTAGCTTACTTATCTCAGTATAATGGCCACAAGTTTCATCCATGTTGTCTCAAACAACAGGATTTCCTTCTTTTTTATGGCTGAATAATATTCATATATATGTGTATATGTATATAAAATGTATATATACATATTTTCTTTATCCATTCATCTGTCAGGTGGAGACTTAAGTTGTTTCCATGTCTTGTCTAATGTAAATAATAGTTCAATGAACATGGGGTGCAGATATCTCTTCTGAGGTAATGATTTCATTTCCTTTGGATACATACCAGAAGTAGGACTGCTGGATCATGTGATAGTTCTATTTTTTTGTGTTTTGAGGAACTTCCATACTGTTTTCCATAATGGCTATACCAATTTACATGCACACCAGCATTATACAAGGGTTCTCCTTTCTCCACAGTCTAGCTAATACTTGTCTGTTGTCTTTTTGATAATGGCTATTCTGACAGGTGTGAGGTGATATCTCACTGTGGTTTTGATTTGCATTTCCCTGATTAGTGATATCAAGCATCTTTTCACATACCTGTTGGCCATGCATATGTCTTTTTCAGAAAAATGTCTATTCAAGTCCTTTGCCCATTTCTTAATTGAACTGTTTGGTTTTTATTTTTATTATTTTTTTTAATTTATTTATTTGTCAGAGAGAGAGAGAGCGCTCGCGGGAGAGCACAGCATAGGAAGCGGCACGCAGAGGGAAAAAGCAGGCTCCCTGCTGAGCAAGGAGCCCGATGTGGGGCTCCATTCCAGGAGCCTGAGATCATGACCTAAGCCGAAGCAGATGCTTAACCAGACTGAGCCACCCAGGCATCCTGAATTGTTTGGTTTTTAAAGTAATATCCTATGTCTGCATCTTCTCACCCACCACACACTTATAAAAAAAAAAAAACCTAGGAAATTTCAATTTCAGAAAAATAAGCACTATTGCTTTACAAAATTATTGTATTAAACTCAGTTATATTTCTACTTCAGCCCAGAAAGCACTCGATTTACTAAGACATTCTGTTTCAAAAGCTTAGAAAAATAAACTAATAAACAATCCTGAAAAACTAAGTAGTTAATCACTTTTACTTATCTGTCTCCTTCAAACACTCCCCTCTGCCCCCCCTCTCACCACAAAAGGAGGAAAACAAGGAAATTTTGCACAACCAATGAAAACAATTTCTGGGTCCTTTCAAAAAGATTTGTAGGTTGATAACATTGTCTCTATCACTTCAACATAGGACTTTTCTTTGATGATGGCATATTTTCTTTCTTTTTAAGATTTTATTTATTTATTTGACAGAGAGAGAGACAGCGAGAGAGGGAACAAAGGCAGGGGGAGTGGGAACAAAGGCAGGGGGAGTGGGAAAGGGAGAAGCAGGCTTCCCGCCGAGCAGGGAGCCCAAGGCGGGGCTCGATCCCAGGACCCTGAGATCATGACCTGAGCCGAAGGCAGTCACTTAACCAACTGAGCCACCCAGGCGCCCCATGATGATGGCATATTTTCAAGTTACTCTGGCACAGCAACTTTAGGCACTCAAATTGAACAATGAAAGTTTTGAACAGAACTGATGAAAAGACCAGATGAGATACTTGTTAAAGCATCCAGCACAAAGCCTGGCACATCGTAACTACTTAAGTGTTTCTTCAATCAGAACCACAAAAACACTATACCAGAACTAGAAGAAAAGGAGAGTATGGAAGAGGGGAAGAAAAGAATATAAAAACAAGAACCCTACTAATATTAAATTTAATAATAGAACCACTAAATTCTACACCTGAAATTAATATTACATTGTATGTTAATTAACTGGAATTTAAATAAAAACTTAAATACCAGAAAAAAAATTTAATGATAGTGATGATAAAAAAAAATTGGGGGGGGAGAAGCACACAGTTCATGTACATTTTACTCCTTTGAGTGATAAAAAAGAAAAAAGAAGGAAAAATATTTCAGGTTAAATAGTTTCATACACATAGTCACAAACTCATCTATTCAGTCTGGATATTTTGACTATATCCCAAGTGGACTGAGAACAGAAATAGGAATATAATATACAAGCACTAAGTATCTGAAATTTAAGGAATACCTACATTCAGTTTTTTTCACTCATCAATTCTGATAGTTTAGAACAATAGTGAACTACCTTTTTCTGCATATAGGACAATTCAGGAAAAATAAAAATGTTTATAAACCACAAAATTTTTTAATTTTAATTTAATTTTAAATTCACATTTAGGTACCTTTTTTAAGTAAAATAGAACTGCAATTTATATCGCTTCCTTTCTAAAAAAGAGCCAATGAAAGAGTTGTGCTTTTTAAGTAAGTAAATATTCAAATCTAAGCATATCTGAGAAGAAATAATATGGAGGAAGCTCTCTAATATTTTATCTTCATATTAGATCACAGACTGTTGTAAAGTTAGATGGGTCATGAATTACTCAAGTGGCCTCACGGATTAAGAGAAAAGGAAGCAAGGGAACATTTGTGTTCAGGCAAAGTTTGGTGCTTTTTTCATAGGTTATATAATAATCTATATGAATTTTTTAACTAAATGATTTCATAAGAATAATAACTTCTTTTTTCCTAACATTTTAAACCTTAGAGTTAATGTAATCCAAATAGAATTTTACAGCCCAAGAAACATATCTAGAGATTCTAGTTAAATATTTGGCCAAAGTGGAATGAATAGAGACCATAATCCAGGTGTGGCAGAGATTGCTACCTTTCCACCAAAATCTTTCCTTCCTTCTTCAGGAATAGAATTGTATCTCAGCAACTGCCTCCCCAGCATTATTACATTTCCCAGTCACTCTTGCAATTTAGATGCAGCACATGTCCAAATTCCCTTCAAGGGAATGTGAGCTGACATGATGTTGCCACTTCCAGGACAGTCAGTATCTTAAGACCAGAAGAGGAGGCCACACCTCTTACACATTTTCCTCTCATCTTCTTGCCACCTGCAATCTGGATGTGGCAGCAACCCAGTTCTAACCATACAGACAAGGACAATACCACAGAGCAGCAGTTCTCAAGGTCTTGTCCTAGGGAATCCTAGGGGGCTCCCAGACCATTTCAGGGGTTCAGCTTTTTAGGTAATTATAATTTTTAGTAATAATAGCCTATATTAATTACTATGCTTCTTACAGAAATTTGTAGTATATGTGATACTATCTTAAAGAGTATCATGAATTTATGTCATATAGAATAATAGGATGCTTAATATGAAATTATTTTAAGTTTATAGTTGGGGCAGTGGGGCAAACAATTCCTTTAAACTGTCAGAATTGTGCTTCAGCTCCTATGTAGAATGAGCAATATAAGATTAGATAGCAACTGTGGTTCTTATTATCATACTTGTGTATTTTTTATAGCTTTGATTAGCTATGAACTGGAGTATCATAGCATCTCAGAATTTCATTTGGCTTTGGCTAGTCACATTCATTTAATACATGCCAACAGAGTCATTTGGTTGCCTAGCTTCATTTTCTGCTATGCCAGGCATTTCAGTCCTAGGTAAGATGTTCAGAGGTAGCTACGGTCAAAAATGAAAAGATAAATCGGGCGCCTGGGTGGCTCAGTCATTAAGTGTGTTCCTTCGGCTCGGGCCATGGTCCAGGGTCCTGGGATTGAGTCCCACATCGGGCTCCCTGCTCAGCAGGAAGCCTGCTTCTCCCTCTCCCACTCCCCCCTGCTTGTGTTCCCTCTCTCGTTGTGTCTCTCTCTGTCAAATAAATAAATAAAATCTTTAAAAAAAAAAAGAAAAGATAAGTTGCATGGAAAGAATATAAATATAACGACCTATACATCAACTTTGAATCATACTTAAAGTTGTATCATACTATAAGATAAACATTTTTTTAAAACTCTGTTGGAAAATAACACACATACCAAAATTCAGAAAGGAGCTGGAGCAATTTGACTGAACGGCGTCTGCAGGCTTGTTTGGTGAAGAATTACAGATACCTAGAATCAAAAGAAAAAAATGTAAGGGAAAAAATGAAGACAGACTCTGATTACTGTTTATCAGACCACATAATTTTGAAATTAAGTATTTCCTCCAAAGTAATACTCCCAAATAAACATATTATTATAAAATATAACAAAATATAGATGCTTATAAATGGGTTAACATATAATCTTCTCATTTTTGTGTGGGTATTTTTTTAAAGGGTTTTTTTTTTTCCTTTGGAAACATTGTCCAGTAAAGCCCAACACTAAAGAGAATCACCAGGGTATTCAGAAATAACATCCATTACATTGTGAATCAGCTTCTTGGGGGATTCATATTGTGGTTTTTTTATTTCATTTTACTTTGCACTCCGATCACTTTTTTTTTTTTTTGAGAAAGAACGCACCCACACAGGGGACTGGGGGAGGGGGAGGGGCAGAGGGAGAGAGAAAATCCTAAGCAAGCTCCATCCTGGATCTCTCAGCCCTGAGATCATGACCTGAGCCGAAATCAAGAGGCAGATGCCTAACCAGCTCAACCACCCAGGCACCCCTGCACTCTGATCACTCTTAACACGTTTTTTTTTTTAAGATTATTTATTTATTTATTTATTTGTCAGAGAGAGAGAGTGAGAGAGCACGACAGGCAGAGGGAGAAACAGCCTCCCTGCTGAGGAAGGAGCCCAATGTGGGACTCGATCCCAGGACCCATGACCTGGGCTAAAGACAGATGCTTAACCTACTGAGCCACCCAGGTATCCCTCTTAACATGTTTTTAATTAATTTGTTTTCCATATGAGTTCATCCATGGCACATCAATGGTTTTTCTTACAAGTATCCTTTACTCCTGAATATCTTTCTTCACTTTCCAGCCTATCTTTTCCGCATTATAGACGATTCTAGTTAGGTCCAGAATCTCCCAAAAGCATTATTATATTGCTTTGTTTTGCTATTTTAACTACTTACAGGTAGGTTTAAAAATATGTTTCTCGGGTGCCTGGGTGGCTCAGTCAGTTAAGCGACTGCCTTCGGCTCTGGTCATGATCCTGGAGTCCCGGGATCGAGTCCCACATCGGGCTCCCTGCTCAGCAGAGAGTCTGCTTCTCCCTCTGACCCTCCCCCCTCTTGGGCTCTCTCTCTCTCACTCTCTCGCAAATAAAAAAATAAAAACTTAAAAAAAAATATATGTTTCTCTTCCCAGCACTTTAATATATTCATGTAACAGTTTCTGCCCAATTTTAAAAACAATCCAGTGAAAACATCATCCACATTTTGCATGTGCACTACCTAGCAGTGAAAGAAGATAATTTCAGGTTTGTATAAACCTTCTATAAGATTTTGTGTAAAAACAGCATATGATTAGGGAGAAATTATTAAATATTCACCTTTTTTAGGTATTCAACATTTTGAGTGTACAGCATGAGGCCTGCATCTATGTTTGTAAATAATGGCCTAATGTTAGGATTCAAAAAAACCCTCCCTCTTCATGGAGGTACTTGAGTATGAATCACTAGAGTACATAGTGAATTTCAATCAGATTGAATTACAATACATATTTATTGAATGCCTATTATGTGCCAAGCATTGAGCTAGGCACTTAGGATACAGACATGAATAAGAAGTGAGTGAAGGTGAGAAAGTTCAGGACATATCCATCATCATTAAACTGCATATGAGCTGACAGTTGTATACATCCTTCAGAAAGAAAACATTGTGCCCAAAGGGAATGTTGGATTTGTTTTGTTTTGTTTTGTTTTTTTATCACGGGACAAAGATTCTGCAAATATAGATCAAAGGGAACTGCTATTTTGCATATTGGCTTATCACAGTTTGGTTTGCTTTTTTTTTTTTTCCCCAAAATGGCAGTGCCGTATGGTTGAACTTAATATACTTGTAAGTACCTGGTTTTGTTAAGTTATTACATAAACAAGACTGATTATCCTATAATTTACTTTTCTCACTTAATGAAATATCTTGGTTTTTTTCCTATGGCAGCTCCAGTAGAACTGTATTATGTCATAGATATTTTTATGCTGCCTGCCCAGCATTAATTCCTCCTTCTGATAACAGAACTTGAGTTTTCCTTTTAGGAAACCACCCCTCCCCAATTTTCAGCTCCCATACTTCTGGTGAAGTTGATTCTACCCTTAGATCAAGGAACTGACCTATGACTGGGGCTAATTTTCAGTTGGTACATTGCCATGGTCATACCAGTTGTTTAGGTCTGACCTCATTTCTTAGTGGTCAGTGTCCATGTGTAACAACTGTTAAATATTTTAATAATAGTTAACAGTATGACAGTATGACACTGCTCTGCTTAATCATATGAATATACTGGCAATAACTGGTTCAAGGATGAGCAAATGAACCAAACCAAGACAGGCCCAATCAGCCCTAGTCATCAGACTGTTGCTTGAGCAACCAGGAAGGAGCTCATTTTTTTCCATCACAAGCCTGAAACCATATGGTAAAAGCCTCCCCATGAATGAGCAAGCACAGAGTAAAACAAAGCTGGAGATATGAAATGAGATTAGGTCCTGATTATATCATTTGAACTCTTGGTTACAGGCCAATGAATTCCCCTTTTCTGCTTAAACTAGCTTAAGCTGGATTTTCTATCACTTGCAACTGAAGGATACCTGAGTAATTAACGTTTCCCACCAAAAGTAGGCATCAGGCATCATGGTCAATAGCTTTAATTCTTGTCACCCTATAATTCACTCTCCACACAGCAGCCAGAGGGGTCTTTTTAAAAAACAGACATGTAACATCTCTGCCCAAAGCTCTTCAATGACTGACTTCCCATTGCACTTAGAATAAACTCTAAACTACTTAACATGCCCCGTAAAGATTTAACTACCTTCTCCCCCACCTCCACCATCTTGTCAGCCACTCTTTATTGCTCTGTCCTCTTAATACCATGAAGCTATGATGGCTTCCTCTCAGGTCCTACAACACACCAAACTCACACCTCTGTGCTGTTGCATATGCTGTTCCCTCTATCTGGAGGGCTCCTCTCCCCGCTCGTCTCCTGGCTGGCTACTCCTGCATGTCTCAGGTTTAATCATCACTTAGAAAGGTCCTCCCTGGACCACTCTTTCTAAAATAAATCCGCTTTGTTATTCTCTCTCAAAGTTACCCTCTTGGTTTCCTGCACAGCATTTATCACCATGTGTTATTATGTACGTATCTGAATTGTTTAATATCCGAATCCCTCAGTAGACTTAAGTTCCACGATGGCATAGCCCAATACCTGTTGTGTTTGCCATCATATACCCAGTGCCTTGCAGAATGCCTGGCACATAGTAGGCACTCAATGAATATTCAATGACTGCATAACACTATGCTTAAATGCCTGCTTAAAACACCAGATGAAGAATCCTCATTTTATTAAAAGTAGGACCAGCTTTAACTACAGACCAGTTAGAGATCCAGGTAAAAGGGAGAACATCTGGACTTCAGAAGTCATGAACCATTTGGAAGGGTAAGAGGACACATACCCAAGTACAGGCAGATAAATCTAAAGCTTCAGCATATTTTGAGGGCCAGATATTGTTCTTCATTTAAGGACAAAAGACCAGAAGATGAAGGCAACTGAGAAATTGAAATTAGCTTAGATCTAGAGAATGATCTGGGAGGTCTTATTTAGAAATAAGACTCAGAATCTCTGAGAGTCCCACCACATATTGAATCTATGCCAACCTAAATTTACCTGAAGTTTCTGTCTCCTTGATATCCCCAAGATAGGGTTGGGGCTATACAAAAAAAGGGTTTTTTTGTTTTGTTTTGTTTTTAAAGAGAAAGCTAAGCTGTTCAAATCAACCTGGCTAGTTATTCAAGTCAGTCACTTCTTTGTTTTGGGCTCTTTTATTTCCCCTGTTTTATACTACAGTTTTCTCTAAAATGTTTAAATTCTCTTTTGACTCACATTAGAGGAAGGAGTATATTTTCCAATCATACTTTAGCCGTCATAGGTGAGAAATCCTTTCACTTCTAAGATCAGGTTTACTCTCAATGAAAACAGGCTAGCACAAGTTTATTGACAGGGAAGTGAAGAGAAAACTTAGTTGAAATAGGTAAGATTCAGCTATAAACCTTCTAATATAGACAATACCATAAATTATGTTTTCTCAGCACTCTGTCCTTCCCTAAAACACCAGTACAATTCCAAATAGCTGTTTGGTCCTTGATGATTAACCAAGTGGATCTAATTCATAAGAAGTATATCACTATTTTTTAATATACTTTGTAGTCTTAAATAAGGATTTCTCAGATAATCATTTTCCCACAGTTTCAGGAGTCTTTCGGTTTTGTTTTCATTACAATATAGCAAAAATAATAAGCAACAGACTTATTGCTAATAATACTTGGCAAAAATGGAAACGTGTCAATACTTTGCTTCTTTCATTAAATCAACACATTTGTTTCACAATATGCTTTGCTGTGACTATTTTCAAAGAAAATACATCTGAGGTTAGATTGCTAGGAATTTTAAATAACACACTTGTATGACAGCATCTTAGAATGGGTAGAAAGTGCCAAACATCGTATTATTATTCCCATCTGTTATACAGAAACTCCCCCTCCCCTTATTCCCTTCCAATATTAGCACTGTGGAGCCTCACATGCTACAAGGCCTGGGAGTGATCGTTCTGATACAAAGGGCCCTAGCAAGGCTCTGTATAAGAATAATATTGTTAATGTTTTCACAGAGGGGTTATAGAAGGAAAAATTACATAATTGTGAAAGTGTATGTGTATTCTAAAAAACAAGTAAAAAGAAACTTACTCTTTTTCATGTTTCTCAAAATTTTCAAGCTCTACAAAAATGAAAAGGAAAATGTTAGTTTTTTCTTGTTTTCCTATGAAATCCAAAATAGTTTAATCAAGTAGAAATATAGACTTCAGTCGAAAGGATTAATTTGCTTAAAAATAGCCATCAAATGCACAAAATTGTTTTTCCATCTTGCTATTTGAATCCAGTGCAAAGTCTCCACTTGATTTTATATTGCTATTTTTTTCCCATCCACATAAGAATCACTCTATGTATTTAAAAGTAGTGCTATCAAAATATCAGAGAAAAAAGGAGTTCCTACTTTTCTTCTTTATTAGGACCGTTCTGGAAACCACAATGGCTCCAAAGATAGCTGTAATATGCGGCCATTCCCACTCTAGCCAAGAACTTCTGCCAATCATACTCTGAACTAAATTTACTAAGGTCCACTCCATACTGTTACCATGCTACTTCCTTCTCCGTCCATTCAGCAAACCCACTCTGCCTCCTTTATGGTGAAGTCCCTCACTTATCTCTTCCAGGAACCGACCCATATTCCTTCCCTTCTTCACATACCACTGCATGTATTTTTTTAATCAAAAAGAACAAATAAAATTTTTTAATTTGTTCTTTTTGATATCTTCATGTTGTTTCTCATACAGGCTTTCTATCCCAATGGATTAACTGTCCTCTTTTCAAGGACAGGTAGAGATCCTTTAGGACATTTCTACTTTCCTAACACCTAACAGAAGTGTATTTTTCTATATAATAGATAATAAATTCTTTTTTGGGGGAATTTTTATTTAAATTTTAAAAAATAAATCATTAATTTATAATTCAAAATATTGTAGTCAAAATGCTCCCATCTTTGTTCTCCATCTACCCAGTTTCTGACCCTCCCTCCACAGATAACCATTACTGTTCATTTCTTATGTATCCTTCCAGAGTCACTTATAACATATAATACAAATATTGATCATATTTTCTACCTTTTAAGGAAAAGTTAATAAATTATAAATAAATACACTGAGAGAGTCCTCATTCCTTTTTTACCTATCTAGTATTTCATTACATGCGTATACTATGATTTATGACTTATTTAATCAGTTACCCTAATGATGAACAGTCTTGTTTCCAATCAGCTATTCTTTTTTTTTAAGATTTTATTTATTTATTTGAGAGAGAGAGAATGAGAGATAGAAAGCACGAGAGGGAAGAGGGTCAGAGGGAGAAGCAGACTCCCCGCTGAGCTGGGAGCCCGATGTGGGACTCGATCCCGGGACTCCAGGACCATGACCCAAGCCGAAGGCAGTCGCTCAACTGAGCCACCCAGGCGCCCTCCAATCAGCTATTCTTATAATCTAATTTCCATCTTGATTCTGGCAGCAGGGGAGAGATGGAGGGTGTGAACACCTTCAAAAATGAAGACTCTGGCATGTTTGTTAAAACTCCCATCTTTTTTACCTTAGTCCTTGTGAAACCTTTTCCAGGAGTCTTCAATGTCTGTTTTGAAGATGTTGAATTTTCCGTATTAGGACAACTAGTAGAATAAGTCTCTATAGGCTGAGCCTGCACACCTTTAAAAAAAATGTTTTGTTGCATAGCTTGTTAAGCCTTTGGGATATATATAGTTATATATTCAGTAATTCTTAGCTTGGCTTTTTTATGTATTATTTTTACAATACACTATGGGTTTTTTTAATGTATTATTTTTATCTCATTTAATCATTCTTTATACCTTTACCATTTAGGTCCTACTTTTTTGTTAATCTTTTAGAAGTCTCATTTTTATAGCTTTTTTGAGAGGAATGTACTGGTCACTTACAATCTTCATCAGCAAGAATGAAGGACTCCAGTGTTCTTTCTGGGAGTGGAGGTGGGGGGGGAGAAGAACGATCTTGATGTAGATCTGTGATAAGAGCAGACAACAAAAGAAAACAAAACAAAAATCCATCAATTAAAAGTTAGAAGTCAAAACCCCTTTTTGGTGTTGCATAACTTTTCCAACTTTTCAATATTAATCTACAACAAGCAAATAAAAAGTAATCTGAACAATAACTGCAGCCTCAAGAATTTTTTGTTGTTCTAGCTTTTTAGCCAATCAGTCTATGATGCATCAAAACTTGTGCTCCCTTAGGAAAGTAATTTTCCAAAGAAATTGAACTTGAAATTAATCAAGTTTCTGGTTCTAACCGCCATTTTACATAGAATCCTGGGGATAGTGTAACATGTTAATAAATAAAACCATGAGAATATAAATAACAAAAATCCAGAATATTCAGTCTTTAGGACAAATGACCCATGCTCCTCTACAAATAAATGGCATGAGGAAATATAAAAAGAAGGGAAAACTGTTACAGATTTTAAAAGACTTAACAAATATATAAACCAAATGCAGTGTGTAGACTTTGATTCCAGATGCATATAAACCAACTGTAGGGGCGCCTGGGTTGGGCTCAGTTGGTTGGGTGACTGCCTTCGGCTCGGGTCATGATCCCAGGGTCCTGGGATCTAGCCCCACATCGGGTTCCCCGCTCGGCAGGAAGCCTGCTTCTCCCTCTCCCACTCCCCCTGCTTGTGTTCCCTCTCTCGCTGTGTGTCTCTCTCTCTGGCAATTAAATAAATAAATAAATAAAAATCTTAAAAAAAAAAAAAAAAAAAAAGCTCAGCAGAAAAGTAAAATTTTTAAAAAAAAAAAAAAACCCAACTGTAAAAAGACATTTTTGAGGCAATTTGAGAAAATTGAAAAAATTCTGGATATTAGATCATATTAAGGCATTATTGTTAATTTCACTGGTGTGATAATGTTATTATGGTAGGCTTAAAATGTGTTTGGAATTTTCCATTATATAAAGAATTTTACATAATAGAGCTATTTTCCCACAATAAAGTCCTAAAGATACAAAGGGTGTATGATAATCTCATTATACAGTACTGAGTATAATTACATACTATATTGTCCTTTGAAACTGAAAATGTGGCTCAGTGCTAGAGTTCCACCTATCTTTGGTCTTTGGGTTCTTTAGGCCTTAGAATTTGTCTCTAAAGCAAGTTCTCTTGTTTCTTTCTTATCTGGGTGATATGCAAAAGTAAAGTACAACCCTTATTTCCAGCACCTTATATAATACCTGGTATATAGCAGGCACTTAATAAATATTTGATAACTACTCTGAAGTTGCTTATCATCTTCCAGTTTGCTGTTAGAAAATACACTGAGAACTAAAGCTAACTTGCAGTTAATGATATCCTGCCAAATATCTTCCTAAAATACCACTTTCATCTTATTTTTTATTTTTTATTTTTTTATTATGTTATGTTAATCCCCGTACATTACATCATTAGTTTTTGATGTTGTGTTCCATGATTCATTGTTTGCATATAACACCCAGTGCTCCATGCAGAACGTGCCCTCTTTAATACCCATCACCAGGCTAACCCATCCTCCTACCCCCCTCCCCTCTAGAACCCTCAGTTTGTTTCTCAGAGTCCATAGTCTCTCATGTAAAATACCACTTTCATCTTGTTGCTCCCCTGATGAAGAACCTAAAATGCTTATTCCTTATTACATTAAGTCTAAATTCTTCCGCCTAGCTGTGTGTGTGTATGATAGAATACACATAATAAAAGTTGCTATTAATGACAGCACATTTACAGTGTTGTGCAACCATCACCACTATTTCAAAAACATTTTCATCACCCTAAAAAGAAACTCCATACCCATTTAGCAGTCACTTCCCATTTCCTCTAGATCGGATTGGCAACCATGAATCTGCTTTCTCTATATATAGATTTCCTTGACCTGGATATTTTATCTGCCTAACTTTAAAATCCTTCAGAATCTTTCCACATTTTATCCAAATTTATTTTTCATAGTTCCCAAAATAGATCCTCTATTGCAATTAAATTAACCTACTCACCATTTCTTTATACTCATCATGCTTATTTCTACCTTTTAAGTCAATGTTACCCTGATCCCAGCTCCTGGAATTCCCTCCTTTTTCCTCTGTCTACCCATATTCTTAAATTTATTTCTTCTACACAGTGAAGCATTTCCCAACCACTCCAGTAATACCTCCTTTTTTTCCAGACTCCTGGTGATTATAATCAGTCCACACAGATTATCAGTTAATGGTTCCAAGTAAGTATTAATTTTGCCTACCCAATTTGAATATAAACATTAAACAGTACCTTTTCCTATATATCCTGACTATTCTAACACTGTATAAGGCATATAGAACTTGCTTAGGAATGGCTCATTTAATAATTATCTAATAAAAATTGTAATAGGTAACATTTAATGAAGGCTTATTATTTGACAACCACTGTGTTAAAAGGTTTATAAGCATTGTCTCACTTAACCCTTACAAAAACCCTCTAAGAAACGAGTTCTATTATCCTCATATTATAAATGAGGGAAATCAATAGAGAAAGTATATAATTTAACCAAGGTTATGCATTTTGATAACTACTGTAGGCTAAAGATTTAGATTAAAGCCTATCTGACTCCAAAGCTCATTAACCTCTATGTGAAACTACCTATGTAATTTGAATAACATGTTCATATGAATAATTATGTTAAGGGCAACTACCACCTGTTATAATGTATGTAAAGTACCTATATGTGCCCAATAAATGTTAACTGTGGATGTTGTTATTTGATGTATAAAACAAGCAAAACTCAGGGCACCTGGGTGGCTAGTCAGTTAAGCATCTGCCTTCAGCTCAGGTCAGGATCCCAGGGTCCCAGGAGTCCCAGGATGGAGCCCTGTGTTGGGCTCCCAGCTCAGCAGGGAGTCTGCTTCTCCCTCTGCCCCTCCCCCTGCTCCTTCTCTCTCTCTCTAGCTCACTCTCTCTCTCTCAAATAAATAAATAAAATCTTAAAAAAAAAAGCAAAGCTCAAGAAAATACTGGAGAAGCAACAGCAAGTAAAAGAATGACACTGCTAACAATGGTAAAACCTATAAAATAGAAATGCTGCAAAGTGTTAAGAGATTTCTACTTGAAATAGGGTTTCTTTGTTGTTTGTTTGTTTGTTTGTTTTAAGGATTATGTATCAAGGAGCAGAATTCTAAACTCCTGTGTTTTCCTTGCCCTTGACAAAGCAAAACCCCTAGCCTGGGAAAATCAGAAATAAACCAATAAATAGTGGGAGCTATTATGGGAACCATGCCATCTTCTGAGGTGAATTACTCTAAACTTAACGAATCATTCTTATAGTATAAATTCTTAGGGCTAAAAGTCATCTAAAGCCAGGGGAAATTTTTTACCTGATTTGGGACTCCGGAGTTTTACACTCTGCAAGAAAGAAAGAAGAGAAAAGTGAAAAAAGAAAACGTACACAAATTTACAAACTCAAAGCAATAAAAGGCATTTTTGAAAGCATATTTCATATAGTTATAGAGATAGTTATGAAATGTTGACCTTATTTTTCCTAATTTGTAAGCACACTAAATTGTGAAAAGGCATCCTTAACTCTTACAGTGCTTTACTCTCCTTTTGTAAACTTATTTTTTCCTTTTTTTATAAAGAAAGCTTATGAATTTTTAATATTTTTAAATTATTTTTTAAACTTCAAGTATAATTAACATACAGTGTTATATTAGTTTCAGGTGTAAAACGAAACGATTCAACAATTCTCTATATGACTCAGTGCTGTTCGCAATAAGTGTACTCTTAATCCTGTTCCCCTATTTGACCCATGCCCCCCCCACTTCCCCTCTGCAAACCCTCACTTTGTTCTCTATAACTATGAGTCTATTTTTTTGTCTGTCTCTTTTTTCTTTGCTCATTTGTTTTGTTCCTTAAATTCCACATGTAAGTGAATCATATGGTATTTGTCTTTCTCTGTCTGACTTATCTCACTTAGCATAATACCCTCTAGGTCCATCCATTTGTCACAAATGGCAAGATCTCATTCTTTTTTATGGCTGAGTAATATCCCATGATATGTATGTGTATAGTATATGTGTGTATACATATGTATGTCATATCTTCTTCTTTATCCATTATCTGTGGATGGGCACTTGGGTTGCTCCCATAGCTTAGCTATTATAAAGAATGCTGCAGTAAACATAGGGGTGCATATAGCAGGCACTATCTTTTCAAATTAGTGTTTTTGTTTTGTTTGGTAAATACCCAGTAGTAGAATTACTAGATCATATGGCAACTCTATTTTTAGCTTTTTGAGGAACTTCCATACTGTCTTCCATAGTGGCTGCACCAGTTTGCATCCCCACCAGTTCACAAGGGTTCCCTTTTTCCCACATCCTCACCAACACTTGCTTTTTGTTTTTGATTTTAACCATTCTGACTGGTGTGAGGTGATATCTCATTGTGATTTTGATTTGCATTTCCCTGATGATTAGTGATGGGCATCTTTTCATGTCTGTTGGCCATCTGTATTTCTTCTTTGGAAAAAATGTCTATTCATGTTTTCTGTCCATTTTTAAAATTAGAGATTACTTAGGTTTTTTTTGGTGTTGAGTTGTATAAGTTCTTTAAATATTTTGGATATTAACCCCTGATCAAATACATCATTTGCAAATATCTTCTGCCATAACCTTATGGTGATTTTTTTTAAAAGATTTTATTTATTTATTTAATTGACAGAGAGAGAGAGAGAGACAGCGAGAGAGGGAACACAAGCAGGGGGAGTGGGAGAGGAAGAAGCAGGCTTCCTGCCATGCAGGGAGCCCGATGAGGGGCTCGATCCCAGGACCCTGGGATCATGACCTGAGCCGAAGGCAGTCACTTAACCAACTGAGCCACCCAGGCACCCCCCTTATGGTGATTTTTATATGTCATGGCAATTGGTCCTAAACTAATCCTTTTTTTATTTATTTCCTTCCTACTCAGAACATTTCCCAGAAAATTTAATTGGAGGTAAACTGTTGAAATTGAAATTTCTTCATGACATTGGAAAAGGAGTGATTGTTCTTAGCTCTAGCAGTTGTTAAGATAAAGACCATTACATGTGGGCATATTATTAACAATAATAATAACTACTAACATATTAAAAGTGTAATTTTTTTAAAGATTTTATTTATTTGAGAGAGAGAGAATGAGATAGTGAGAGCATGAGAGGGGCGAGGGTCAGAGGGAGAAGCAGACTCCCTGCTGAGCAGGGAACCTGATGCGGGACTCGATCCCGGGACTCCAGGATCATGACCTGAGCCGAAGGCAGTTGCTTAACCAACTGAGCCACCCAGGCGCCCTTAAAAGTGTAATTTAAAAGAAAGAGAAATTTGCCTACCAGCATAGCAATTGTAGGCACTTTAAAATGTTTGTTTGGTTAATTACTTTTCTGATCTCTGAAATTTTAAGGTTGTTGGTTCATAGAATATATACCAATGTATAACAGATTATTGAAGTATAGATTTTACTTCCAGAAGTGGGGAGCGTTATTCCGAAAAGGTTATATTAAATAATACAGATATTTGTCATTCAAAAAATCATTCTCTACAATATATGTATCGCAGCGAACATGATACAGCCTACCAAATGACTACTATGAACAGGCTACCTACTTATGAAACATTTATTTTTGCCTTAACTGTCCTTCAGGAACCAGTTCAAATATTTCCTCTTTCACCAAGCCTTCCTTAGTCACTTCCAACGTGAAAGTTTCTTAAGGGCAAGAATTGTGTTTTATCCATTGTCTTCTCCCCACATCCTCTGACACATTGTTTTATAAGGAGTACCTGCTTAGTATTTATTGAGTGATAGATGTTAAAAATACAAGGAGTAGGATTATGGTCTGTTGAATCCAGATGAGTAGAAAAAAAAAACAGTTATGGACCTTAGTTGGTCTAAGTCTCACAGTGTCATCAGATGTCCTTGACTCAGATGTTCCACTCCATTCTAGTGATGCTCCAACTTCTGCCTCCACAGCTGAAGATAAGGAATTGGGAACATTCAGTGGGCATTCTCCTGAAAGAAAGTAAATATGGTCCAATTCTTAGGAGTGTTGTAATTCTGTTAGAACAATGCAGATGTTACTCAGCAATAGCACACAAAACATTGACAGGACCTGAGAAGTATTCTAGTTAATCCACTTTATTTTACACTTACTGAACTGTACTCACCATCTTCCTCCAGCACAATAAAAGATTCAGGTGTCCGTTCAGGAAGTGGAGGGGGGACTTCATCATCTATCCTTGGAGAAGTTGCTATCCAAAATGCCAGAAATATAACCATAATTCTTCATTAGAAAAATCCAAAGGAAATTCTTTTTTAAAAAAAAAAAAGATTATTTATTTGAGGGAGAGAGAGAGAGAGAGAGAGCAAGCATGAGTGGGAGGGAGAGAGAATCTCAAGCAGACCCCATGCTGAGCATGAAGTTGTACATGGGGCTCAATCTCAAGACCCTGAGATCACAATCTAAGCCAAAACCAAGGGCAGGATGCTTAACCCATTGCACCACCCAGGCGTTCCACCAAAGGAAATTCTTATATTCTAATCTTGATGTAAAGTCCATCAAGCATCATTACAATACTTAAGCTGGTATGTGTTTGCTCAAGGAAAAAGCAAAATAAATTCTCCCATTTTAAGTTGCAAACCCAGGAGGCTTTCCTGCTTCTTCAAAATTTATTATTTCTTTTAAAGGCTCCAAAGTATTTTGATCGAGTCACTGAGTACCAGTTAACAGAATATAAAACATTATATTAATTTGGGAGATTTTGAATTGTTTTCTATATAACCCTTTTGTTTTATATAGAATATACAATAAAGCATGATAAAGCACTTTGAAATACGCCAAGGATTCAGTTACAGAGTAGGTAGAAGTATAAAGATTTTATTATCTCTTCTTCATTCTACACTGAAGAATGTGGACTTTTTCCTTTTTACAAAACAATCGTATATCAAGGTTTTCTATTTTTCTACAGAAAGTCAGAATTTTTATAGAAAAATTCAAATGCTATTATAAGAAACTGCCACCAGGTGGCACACATGTCAACGATGCTACAATACCTAAAGCTGGGATTCACCGGTTGTTTTTTTTTTTTTTTTTTAAATGCTGATGCTCAGAGAAGTTTAAGGTATTGTGGATATCTTAAAAAAAAAATCCTTTAAATTATAAAACAAGATCAAAGAATATAAAATAAAGAAGGAACTAGGTCCAGATAAAATATTTTTGTAACAAACTACACATCCACACATCTCTCTACTAAGAAACGTTGTACAATAAATAATGTTATAGAAAAAAAAACAACTTTCTCTACTTCCTATTCAGGTAAAATGTTATTTGTAAATTTCTGATAATATATCTGGAGAGAGTTAAACTCGCTCTTTTCTTCACCTTCTTTCATATCAAGCTATTGTAACCATCTCTAGCAGGATATTTACTTCTACTTTCAAACCACTCTCAATAAAACAAAAACAATATGCATAATATGCAAAAATCCAGGATTATAAAGGTGAAAAAGTATGAACGTAAAGGTGACTATAAGATGAAAGTCCCACACAGAATACTAAATACACATTCTCATCTACTACATTATTACACAAAGATGGGAAGAAATCAGGTCCTCCCCTTCCAACTCCTGCGGGAAGAGAATTCAGTGCTTAGTGATCTATTCAACTCAGTGGAGCCATATGGTTGAGCAATAAAAGCCCCGAATGACCACGTGGTGCTGTGGATCAAATCCTTCCTGCTGTTCCTTTGGAAGTTGCTTCTGCATAGCAAGGGTAAATTGCGGACCTCTGTCTGATATACATCCCGAGGAATGGGGGCTGCCTTCTTTAGAGGCACTCTTGTTGGCAAAGATTCTGCACCAGCTCTGACTGCCTCCATCACTGCCTGTTTCATCAACGATTACATGTTTGTCATTGCTATTTTTTAACTTATCACATCAGGAAAACCCTTCTGGAATTTATTTCTTTGAGGAGGAGAAGGAAGAAGGAGAAAGAAGCAGAGAAAGACTAGGGGGAGCATAAGAAGAAACCAAATCTATAGAAACACAGTGAAATCCAAAATGCCATATAAACTTCTAAAAATAACTTACCTACTACCGCTGTCTCTGGGTTCTGTTGGGGGTAATCAGTTAGAGCACTCAATGCTAAAGAATCATGTGAATTGTAACAAGAAAAGAGGGTTGTAGAAGATGCTGGCAATGGGGAACAAGGTAAAATGTTTCCATCTGGCTTCTCAGGTAAATCAAGAGACATCTTAGAACCAGCACTACTTGGAGACAATGATAAGAAATAAGGATCTTCTAAAGACATGTAAGAATATACATTAAGAGCATGAGAGTCCTGCCTCTTTGCATCAGAGGCATTGCACATTTGGGGCCGAGAGCCAGATGGCAGTGAATCATTGAGTTCTGCTGAAGAAACATGCCTCGCTCTTTGAGCCTGCTTAAGACAAGAGTTGTGGGGCTGAGGTTCCAAACAAGAAACATTTTCCTTGATGTCCAGCTCTTTGGTGTCTCTCTGTTGTATCAGCTCAAATGGAGTTGATTTGGTCCGCATTATTGGCTCCTTTGAATTAAAATACCTTCCTGCTACATCAGCAGATTTAGAATTTGGACACGCTCCAAACAAAATGGCGCTCCAGTCTAAACTCTGATGCTTCTGAAGAGGCTCCCCAGCTATTGCAAACACCTTTTTCTCCCCATTCGTGGTTGTGTCAGCATTTTTGTTACAACTACAATTTAGCTCCAAAAAGTCAAAAGCACTGCTCTGTTCAGTAGGGTGCAAAACCAACCCTTTCTTTTCACTTATTAAAGAAGTCCTGAGGTCAAAGGAAGAAGCTTCTGCACTTTTCACCCTTAGCCTTGGTTTGCTCTGTTGCTTCATCATATTTGCTTCTCTTATGCCACTGAAACAAAAAGAAAGTAATGATGACACCACACCCCAAAGAGGTCTCTTCTTAGCATCACAATGAGTTAGAAGCATGAGATTTGCCCCCCACTCTGACATAACTAGACAACATTGGGGTGTGTAAAATTGTACTCACCTTTTTGGTAAATTAGGAGAATCAGACTCTCTTTCTAGAGTGGGATTTTGCTCAAGAACTGAATATTGTGCTTGAATCTTCAAAAGAAATAAGGAAGACACTGGTTTTCAGTGAAGAAATGGCAATGAGATATTTTAACATTCATGAAGTTGAGAGATTATTTTTCAGAAAACCTAAAGATTTTAAATCATTCATGAAAGAGATGAGTTTCCAAAATATTGAGCCCAACAAGAACTTGTTCACATATCAAGATCAAAGGGGGTGGGGGGACAGGTTAGCCCGGTGATGGGTATTAAAGAGGGCATATATTGAATGGAGCACTGGGTGTTATACACAAACAATGAATCATGGAACACTACATCCAAAACTAATGATGTAATGTATGGTAATTAACATAACAATAAAAATTTTTTAAAAAATCAAAGGGATCCAAATAAAGGATTAATAGTGTTATAGAAGCTAGAAAGTGTTTGCTTATAGTATCAAATGTGGGAGTTTTAACATGTCTTTAGGGGTACCTTTATTTTTATGAACAATCTACCTTCAGAAATTACATCATCTCAACTCTTAAATTAGTAAGTGCTTATTAGGTCCTCATACTTACCTTGTTCTCCCTCTTTCTTCCTTACCATGCTCTAGCTATACTGGTTTTCTTGCCTTTCCTTAAGCATACCAAACTTGTTTCCAATTCCAGCCTTTCACACTTACTATTCCCTCTGATTAAAATACTCTTGCTCCAGATTTTCCATAACTGGCTCTTTCTAAGTAATTATGCTATACTTAAATGTCACCTGCATAAGAAAACCTTCTCTGACCACTCAACCTAAAATCATACTCCCACATACTTGTCAGTCACTCTCTTTTTCTCTTCATAGCAATTATCACCTTATCGAATATGTTACATAGAATCTTAGATGCCACCAATTTGTAAAATATACCCTGATTTTAGAAATGTTTAAAAATATTTTTTAAATGTCATCAGCCATTGTAAGATTCTACCTATTATGGGTTTAATTATGACTCTCAAAAAGATATGTTGAAATCTAACCCCTGATATCTGTGAATGTGACCTTATATGGAAATAGAGTCTTTGCAGATGTTATTAGTCAAGATGAGGTCATACTGGATTGAGGTGGACCCTATCACAATAACTTGTGTCCTTATAAAAAGATAAAACAGAGACTCAGAGACATACAGGGAGAATGCCATGTGATGATGGGGACAGAGACTGGAGCAATGTATCCGCAAGCCAATGAATGCCAAAGATTGCTGGCAAACACCAGAAACTGACAGACAGGGAAGACTCTTGCTAGAGCTATGAGAGAAAGCATGGCCGTGCTGACACCTTGATTTTGGACTTCCTACCTCCAGAACTATGGGAAAATAAATTATTTTTTTTTTTAAAGAAGTACCAGTTTTATGAAGTGTGTTGCATCTAAAGCTTAAGATTTTTTTTTTTTTTTTTTTTTGACAGAGAGCATACAAGTGCACAAGCAGGGGGAGCGGGAGAGGGAGAAGCAGGCTCCCCACTGAGCAGGGAACCTGATGCAGGGCTCCATCCCAGGACCCTGGGATCATGACCTGAGCCAAAGGCAGATGCTTAACCAACTGAGCCATTCAGAGGCCCTGAAGATAAATTTGTTTTAAGTCCTCCTTAGTTTGTGATATTTGTTACAGCAGGTCTGGTAAACTGATAAGAGATATTAATACCCCACTTTCAGTAACGAATAGATCAGACAGAAGATCAATAAGGAAATAGAGGACAGACATGAACAACGCCATAAACCAATTAAATCTAACAGCACATATAGAACACTCCATGTTAAAACATACACATTCTTCTCAAACTTATATGGAATATTGTACAGGATAGACCATATGGTAGGCCACAAAACAAGTCTTCTTTTTAAATTTTATTTTATTATGTTATGTTAGTCACCATGCAGTACATCATTAGTTTTTGATGTAGTGATCCACGATTCATTGTTTGCATGTAACACCCAGTGCTCCATGCAATACATGCCCTCCTTAATACCCATCACCGGGCTAACCCATCCCCCTACCCCCATCCCGTCTAAAATCCTCAGTTTGTTTCTCAGAGTCCATAGTCTCTCATGGTTCGTCTCCCCCTCTGATTTCCACCCCTTCATTTTTCCCTTCCTTCTCCTAATGTCCTCCATGCTATTATTTATGTTCCACAAATAAGTGAAACCATATGATAATTGACTTTCTCTGCTTGACTTATTTCACTTAGCATAATATCCTCCAGTCCCATCCATGTTGATGTGAAGGTTGGGTATTCATCCTTTCTGATGGCTGAGTAATATTCCATTGTATATATGGACCACATCTTCTTTACAAAACAAGTCTTAATAAATTTTAAAAGACTGAAGTCATTCAAAGTATCTTTTCCAATTATAATGGATTGAAACTAAAAATTAATGATAAAAAGAAAACTAGAAAATTCACAGATGTGTGTAAACAACTGATGGGTCAAAGAAGAAATCACAACAGAAATTAGAAAATATTTAAAAATGAACAAAAACACAGCATACCAAAATGTCTGAGATATAGTGAAAGTGATATTCAGAGGGAATTTATAGCTATAGATGCCTACTCTTAAAAAGAAAGATCTTGGGGCGCCTGGGTGGCTCAGTTGGTTAAGCGACTGCCTTTGGCTCAGGTCATGATCCCAGGATCCTGGGATCGAGCCCCGCATCGGGCTCCCTGCTCGGTGGGAAGCCTGCTTCTCCCTCTCGCACTCCCCCCCCTTGTGTTCCCTCTCTCTCTGTCTCTCTCTCTCTCTCTCTGTCAATTAAATAAATAAAATCTTTAAAAAAAAAAAA